ATTTTCGGATTGTTCAATTTCCTGACATTCTCAGGAAAATTCAATTTTCAATATTGTTTCATTCGTTGTTACCCGAATTATTCACTTTTTATATATCAGGTGGGCTTTTCTAGGCTAGCAAAAGGCGCCAAGGAGAGAAAGAAAAGCGTTTCTATTGCAACACATTTGTCTTTTACCGAGCCGCATTAGTCGAAGCCTCTACAGTAATCCACCATGACCTGAAATGGTTACAAGGCTTCTGTCAACCAGGGACCAAGGAAAAGCGAAGTTCTTTGTGTTAGTGGGACTAAGCCTTTTGAAGGAGGTAAAGAAAGCGGAGATTCTGTAATAGTGCGCTTGTGTGAGAGCTCCCAGACAGCACAACAAAACGCTGAATTGCCTAGCCTCACGGTTGACAGATGTCCGGAGACCGACCTGAAAGTATAGCCCAAAAACCTGTAGACGAGCATATCCGAAACGTTATCTTAGATATCGCGGATCTCAAAATTCCTATTCGATTTCACGTATCTGAGGTCGTGTTCATAGTTGGCGACATTTGCCGAGCGGCGCTCCGCCTCAGCTCTCCATATAGTTGATGATTGTACATGTAATAACAAGCGAGCAAACGCACATGCACCACGAACATTTTTGCACGGCTATTTTTCAACCTGCTGAGACTCGTTGCGTGCGAAATGCTAGTTCGTTAAAACCTGCTAAAAACGGCAGTGCGACCGCGCCTGCAGGGAAATCCTGTTTAATCTCCTAACGGCAGCTCCCACGACGTGGTGTGGGTGTGATACACAGCTATCAAAAATCGAACCCATGTGTTGCTAATTGGTCCACCATCTTTAAAGAAAGCGGAAGAAAAAGCCGAAACCCATGAGGCGGAACCCGTCCCTTTTCGTCTGATTCTGTAGATGCACGCAGGACAACCATTTCGTAAGGAAGGAGGTGAAAAGACGTTGTTGGAATCGGTAACGCTATCACTTCATGACTTAAATCAGTTGTGACGTCATTTGCTGTGGGATACTGTTAAAGGCAAGATTTAGGATCAAATTGATGAGGTAATTCCACTCAAATGTGAAAGTAGGGGTAGGAGGTGGACCGCCAGTGGAGAAAAAAGGAAAAAAATCGTGAAATACACAGGAAATACGAGCCTTTTGCTCTACGCTGCGGAGAAGTTCAAAAGGCCGGCAGGGAGATGAGAGATAATGTGAGCGCGGAGAGCGCTAGAGAAGTCCGAGTAGAGAGAGCATAGCAGAATCAAGTTATCGAGCGGTGGGCGGAGCGTGTCGCAGCAGGTGGAGCGTGTCAAAGTTCTTAGCGCCTAGCGTCTAAATAACGCTTTTCGAAGTAGGGAAGTGACGCGACCCTACACTTGCGTACCTAGCGCTTCTAGCCACCGTAAAGGCTCATTAAGTGGGTCTGAGCCCGAACTTTGCCTTTAAAGTCTCGGAAAAGGTGGAGAATCTGGAGAAGAGGGAGATTGCTTCCGCCTCCAGGAACCTCTCCTCTGCCTTCTCCTTCCTCACCCCATTAACCTCACGTTAGTCTTAGAACTGGAAAAGAGTAATTGGGTAGGAATATGGCGTAGAATTCGGAGAATAAGGTTGGAACTTGTGAAAGCGTATCACTGGTGGCACAATGTTTGAGCTGTGCTTGGATTGTTTGAAATAGGCTTCAGATGAAGGAAAACGCATTCATATGAACTTGGCACCTGAAAGGGTAATAATTGCGAATCGTCTTTTCGTGTTGGGAAAGGTGTACGATATCAGTAGGGCCCTTTAAATCCCTCTGAAGGGCGTAAATGAGGGGCTCAAATCGTCGTTTATCCAGAAGAAATTGCAATTTTTGTATCGAATATTCTATAAGAGGGAGGGGGGTCATCAAATTATCGGAACTGGACGGTTGACCCTGCCTCCAATGCACGGACTGCGTTGATTACGCGAGATTTCCGCAACTACTGGAATAGGGAAAACCTCAAAGTTTGGAACTTCCAGAATTTTTCCAAGTTTTTGGTAGAATTTTTCAAAGAACCCGAAAATTCTGCTCCTATCCTTCCAATAGGGCAGAAGTGGTGTAGTGACAAGTGGCACGCTTACCACGCGAGCGGTCCGGGGATCAAATCCTGGGTCGTGAGTCGCCCGGGCCAACCAAGCCTTCCATCCCTCCGGGGTCGGTTAATTGGTACCAGACTTGTCTGGGAGGATAAAAACACTGACTTGTACATCGGCTGGCCCCCGCAAGTCATTGTATAGGCCACATCGCATTCAAACGCCACTACGAATGTACAAATGGAAGTAGAATGCGTGCCGCATCCCAAAAAGGGATTGATCAACGGCAAATGCTTTATCCTTTTTATCCTTTATGCAAAGTCGTTCGAATTACAAGTGAGCACTGAGATCATATATGAGTTTGGGAGGGACTATAGTCTGCGATAGGGCCCATTGACCATTCCATGAGCACGCGCCGCGTTCGCGCGCATAGGGATGAAGTCGCACCACACCCTGTTTTTTTGAAGAAACATGGGATCGTATGCAACAAGCCCCGAAGGTCATCGGGGATATGTCCCCGACGATCGTCGGGGCTTGTTGCATACGACCGTTCGGGGATATATCCCCGAACACCTTCGGGGCTTGTTGCATACGGCACATGGTAGAATCCCGAGTTATTGGAATGCAGGGAAGTATAACTAGCATAAAAGTCACCTACTACTGAATACTTTGCTTTGAAACTCCGAGTACTAGTTTGACTGGTATTGTGAAGGTAGCCTAATTCTCCCGAATCAGTGAGATAATCCGCCCAGATCGCTTGCTCTCCCTGTCCCACCAACAAGTTTTTATGCTGTGCTGACCTGGTGAAACTTGTATGGAATACTGACATATTTCACAGTGGCAGGGGTTGAAAAAATCTAGAAAAAAAATAGCAAAGACACCGTTGAAGAGCCCGTCTGAGAAACATTGCGCCCGGCTTTTGCCCGTGTTTAATGAATGAGCTCCGCCTGCCTTTTTTCACTTTTTTTTTATTTTTTTTCTACTTTTATTTTCCCTTTTCAAAATTCTTTATCTAAACATCCCTTATATGGAAAGGTATATCGTAATGATTTCTGAGTCGCTTTTGTCCAGCGAATGCCAACAAATAACCAGTGATATTTTTTCCGTTTTTGAAGCACCCAAACTTCCAAAAGCATGTTGGAGTCAGCAACTCTACAAAAATTCGAATTTCAATCCCATAATTGGAGACTTCGTTTTTTGTGGGGTAGGAAATGTTACGACAAAGAGATTAGGGAAAAGGAGAGAGAGCACAGACGAGAGAATATAGCGGCAAGCGAGACGCAGACACACGCTGCGCAGGCCGCTCCACTGCTGATAGCTTGCCATTAAATAGGCGCATAAGCGTCTACACATTTTTCATTTTTCTATATCCTCCATGCATGTAGCACGTGCAATGGAAACTCGGAGTCGAAAACTGCAAAAGCTTTGTAAACGACTTAATAATTAATATAGAATTATTCTCATTTACCAATTTTCAATAGAATTGTTGTAATGGAGAAAAGGTTTTTATCGAAACACTTGGACTTAAAGGCATGGTTCGGGATTGAACTGGCGTGCTATTTTGTTGCTAAAATTAGATAAGAAAACCAATGGGGAACGTCAATGAGGAAATAAAGCAAAAAGCGGCAGAGAAAACATTGAAATTTACTTTGTGATGTTATCGCGGTATGACTTAGAGACACAGCTCTTCGTGGAGAAGGAAAGCGATGGCGTCGTAAGGCGTGGTCGTATAAGGATGCAGCAGGTCGTTACACAAGGCAAGGCTTCGCAGCCGATTGCTTTCCTTCTTGCGATCGCCTCCGTGTGTCTGGATACCATTTTTCCCACAGTAGCAAGGCTCCTGCACACACTGGCCTGATCAGTGGCTTCAATGGCTGCATTCCTATGCTAGATTAATCCTCATTGTTTTGCAGATATTATTACTGGACGTGGTTGCTGGAAGTCGCCTTGGCCGCAGGGGGCTACCCACCAGGACCAATCGTCGGCGGTGGTGGCAATGCGGTCGGACCATATACAGGAGGAGCTGGTGGTAGTGTGGCCGGAGTTGCCGGAGGAGCTGGAGGAGGAGGGTAAGTCTGGTGATGCTGAAATGCTGCTGAGTTACATCAATATTTTGTCATTTCAGATGCGTGGGTGCTGCCTGCGCTGTCGGACCCGACTTCAATCCATATCTTCTGCAGGGAGTTCGTGGTTTGCCGGGAATTCGAGCTCGTCTCAATCAACGTGCATTCCAATATGCTAGTGGGCTAATTGCCACACTGCTTAACCAGGAAATCAAACGAGCCCGGATTCCGCCTATCACTCAAGCACCTCCAGGCGGGGTAGGTCAGATTGCAGTTTTAAAAAGGGATACCCGTCGATGGGTGATAAGCCACGCTGGATGAACCTATATCAACCCGGCTTATCGGTAGATTTTTCGACTAGAAATAGGACAGAGCTCGGCTAGCGAGTTTAGGCCCGAACGAACATCACTTAGAAGTGCCTCGCTGGCTGTCATCCCCGCCCTTCTAATCGAATCGTTTTCGGTCAGTCAGGTGAAGGTTGTTCAACATAAATCATCGCTGGCCAGGGAAGAAGAATTTTCGAACTTCTTCCCTGGCCAGAAATGATTGATGCTGAACACTCCCCACCTTGGCTGGCAGAAACCGATTCGATTAGATTCTTAGATAAGAGAAATCCGATTTTGCCGCCATCATAACCCTCCACAAACTTTTTTCTTGGCAGCTTATCAAGGGTAGCTAAAGCGAGAAAAGAGGAAAGTGAAAAGCAGATTGGAAAACGGATATCCTTTTATATTTTGAGCAAATTATTCTCGACGTTAGTAGAGTAAGGAATGCTCCGAACCTCGAAGGTGTGCTACTGAGAACACGCCCGAGGCCACCATGTTATGCGTCGTGCCAAAAAAGGCTGGGGCTATGAAGACTATGAAAATAGGTCCGCTGTTCCATAGCAGGAAACACGATATCTACTCCGTCCGAGGGTATCAACGATCGCATTACGTAACGCTAACCACGATCAAGAACCAGATTCGAAGCTTATCTGTTGCTGCACAGCATCACCTGCTGTTCAAATCAGGTTTTGATCCTGCTAAACAAGAGAAATGCACTAGCGAAACGGTTCACATAAAGATGCCGAAGCTGGTGTACGACTAGGAGACCTAGGGCGACCGAAAAAACGTGCGCTTATCGGTTGAGCTATACAGTGGATGCTCTGGAGCAAGGGATCGTATGTGTGGAAATCGAAGGTTGTAATATTCATAAAAAGTCTCATTGATGGCTCACACAATCGGCTCTCCCTTCAATCGTGACTACGACTAATAAGGGAGCAGGGCCGACTATTCGATGAGCAGGGAGGAATGCGAGATGGCCACGACCCTGTTCCCAAGGAAGAGTTTCGTGCAACCTTCCTACATTTTGTTGGCATGAGTTTCGAGGCTTGAAAATTCCCCCATTTTCCTTCATTCCTTTCAAGGGCACAATGCTCATTTCAACTACATCACCCTGCCCATTTCCGTCTCCTCAAAAAGCACATGTACCGCCCCCATTGTAATTTTGGAATGTCTGACCCTGTGAATAACGGCGGGTTATGAAGGCGCTTCAGCACTAGGAATCCATAGTATGACTAAAGAGGGATAAAGTCATTGATCATTCATCATTCATGAAGTGCGCCACGAACTCTACTTCTATTGAAAATCACACTACCTTCAAAGCCGACCAAAGGAAGTTGGAAACAGGTGCGGGCTGTTCGGTGTGGAAGAAGCATAGCGTTTCGTGTTCTCGGATGGATCCCACACCGCCGGTTAACGATTCCCATGTTATGGAAGTCTGGAATGACGTCGAGCAGAATAAAAACTGATCTGGGCCAGTTTCAGTGTGTGTTGTGAAGCAAATAAGTATGTACCCATATCTGTGCCCTAACGAAAGTTAGGCCCATGCTCTGTCTTCCTACCAAGTTCAGAATTTCTCTAACACTTTGAGTTCCCCGGCGCGACCTTGCCTATCTCTCGAGCAGGTGCTATCCTTTGGAAGTTTGGCGCTCATTAGGAAACAGGGCTTCTATTAACAGCTGCGCTTACTCTTACTCCTTATTCTAATCTGCTTATTTCAGATACAAGGCTGTATTATTATCTACAATCTATACGTTTCACGGTATCGTTGTCCACAAAATGTCGTCCTTTATCCAGCGCCACCGAACCGAATCATTCTGCAGGTTCAGAACGTCGATATAGGGTGAGTGACCTTCATTGTTCCAAAATCTTGTCTAAATCATGAAAATATTACAGAATAACTGGTAATCTCGGAGGACAAATCGTCATACTGTTGCCGATCGCACTCTTCGGTATCATACAGATGAACATTCATCAGGTATGTTCTTCTTTCTCATGGTATCAGCGCCTTCGTAACATCCCTTACCAGGAGAATCCTTCGGACGCGGAGAGCTTCTTCGAAACGGTTTTCGGGACCTCCCACGTAGGATGCAAAATTGAGATTCATTTTCGCTGAGCGGCCCTTGAAGGCCAAAAAAGGACCGAAAAATTTGCTTGGAAAGGGTTATTTCACACATTGAAGTGATGTGGGAATTCCTAAGAAGAGTACCCGGTCCTGGTGATGATTATGACAACTACTGTTGTCATGGCGCTATATGAAACAAATATGGAAGCTCCAATCTAATAATGCAAAAATGCTGTTCATCACAAGGAATTGAACCATG